TTGCAAAATGAATAGGACCACTGTCAGTATTCCTACATTAGCTATGAAAGGGAGCTAGTGTACTCCAGGCTCTTCCATAATGTAGATTCTTGAAATGTAGAATCTAGAAACTGGCTTCTGTTTTGCTGCCATATGACAGTCTGATCAATTTTTTATCATCTGTAATAGTCTCTTATCAGAATTCAATTTTCTAATGCAGTAACAAAGTCTTATCACATATGTGACGAGATTCCTGATTATGAAGGTAAGCTAGATTAAGCACCATGGTAAAAAATTTCAAATGCATTAGAATTCTCCCAGCAAGACTTTTGACACTGATTTCCTGATGTACCTTGGAAACAGCGCTTACCCAGCAAATTTCACAGCAAAACAAATAAATAATCAAAACTCGTGAATAAAAACGTTTCACTACTGGATTTGTAAAGATGCATGTGTGTTGCATGCCTCATGGGAGCAGACTGGATAAAAATGGAATTCACTGTGAGGAAGAATACTGATTGCATATACCTAGACCTAGGTATAAGTGATTTACCTGGCAGAAATAACACTTTTATGTAAGACAAAGTATTGGCTGTCACCATGAGGATGATTGAGATGTATAAAGCAAAGATACATAGGTTCTTTTTCAGTATTATAGAGCCTACCAAAAAGTACAGAAATATTTCTGTAATGCATCATCATTACTTCAAAACTGGGTCTTTATTCACAATGGAGGAGAAATGTTTTCAAATTATATTTTGCTTTTCTGCAGGAAAGCAGTTAATGGCACATAAATTTAAATTGCTGTGAATTATGTTACATGCTTAATTTTATTGCATTCATTATGTTATATTACTTTCCACAAAGAACAGTGTGCTGTAGAATGGTTGTCAGTTTAAGTGTTTTGTAAAACTAACTGAAAATTCCCACATGGGACTCAATAATTTTCTTCTATAGAACTGAGATATGAGTGCCGACAGTTCTTCTGAAAACTTGCAGAGACTGAAGACAGAGCTTCTGCTGAACGGGAAGAAAGCTGCTTTTTCCAGAAAATTGCACAGATCCAGCAAGAGCAGATAAGTATCTTATATTTGCATTACTGAGTCTTCTTGTAACCGTCTTAGTAGACTGGATTTGTGCTTTTTTAGTGAAAGTGCATTGCCTTTCAGCTCTTAAATTAGCTTTATTCTAATTCCCATTAACACACAACAGATGGAGAGCTATAATCTGAAGGGTCCTGTAACTAAGTCTGCCCAGTGTGCTTGCGTACAAAGGACTTGATTCCATCATGGTTTTGGCTTGATTTCCACAAAATGATATATCATTGACTGAAAGTATATGATCAGTTTCATAAAATCTACTGAATCAACTTTTGAGCAGAGTGTGGCTTACGTGCATATGTTTGTCTGACTGAAGCTCTGGGTACTTTATTATGTTCATAGTTTTCCACTTCAACATGTATCAGATTTTTTAGATTGTCAGCTATGATTTACTGAGGTAGAAATCTCAGAATGATAAGTGGCAAAGACATGGTATAAATAGCATGCTAAGACAAACTAGTGATTTGTTTTGGATTCACAGCTTGTATTTGTTCTGGTTTGTGACTGGATTGTAAAAGCAGGTTGTAGTTCAGAGACATCTTAAATTTTTTTTACACAAGAACACAAAAGCATCTGAACTTTACAAGGGTTGGTGAAAATTTAGAATGAGAATGTATCATGACTCTTATTCACTTTCTCAGAACCTCTTCTATAATATATAGTTTATTTATGTTCATATTTTACAGAATGTAAAAATAATGTAAAGAGCAGAAAGTAAAAGGTTCACTAAAAATCTTTTTGCTGAGGTGCTTGTTCAGGGTGAGGAAACTGACACAGTCCTACGTGTTCACAATATGTAAAACAATATAAGTGAAAAAATAAGAATACATATATTTGTTAAATTAACTTCCCATCAAAGCGCCATAATTTCTTTCAGTGTTATAGGAAAGCAATTAGAATAGTTTCTACATTGTTGCTTTTGCTACACTTACAGAGATTTCTTTACAGAGAAAAACATTTAATATCAGGGAATTCTGATGCTTCTGAATATATCTCCACTTCATAATGCAAAAGGACTTTGTGAAATTAAGTGACAGCTACTGAAGCACTAGGGAATATAGCAATATTGTACAGCACTTGTTCAGTTTGATACGTGATAGACAAGAAAAGCACCTTTTCTCCCCTCTTTTTGTGAGACTTATTTCATATCCACAAATGCAGAATGGATACTTCTATACTGATGGTCAACTCTGAAAATTCCTGTTTGTTGAGTGCATTACAAAAATGCATTCCTTCTGTTGATAGAACAGATAATATCAGTTCTTTTAATGTAAAGCAAATGGGCTTGTTCTACTTTAATTGTGCAGTTGGCGCTCCTGTTGAAGTTATTCATAGTCTCAAGGGAATCAGTGTGTAGTGTTTTACACTTGAATTTGTATTTTAAGATTTATTCTTAATTAATTTGTAGTTAAATTTGAGAGAAGATTGGTTATAAAATTGCTGAATCCAGAAATCCCATCTAATGAGAAACCACAGCTTCTGAGGAAATCAACAGGCTTTCATCCCCACAGAATCTACTTTTGGGAAAACCAAAAGGTTTTCTTCCCCACAGAAATGACTTCATTATTCTGGAGACTGCATAAGGAAAATGAGTAAAGAGCAAATGCCAGAGCTGTACAAAGGCACGGACTCTAGTGGAGATGGAAAGTACAAATATGCTGATGGCACATGAACAAGTCAGTTGCATCTTTAAGTGTCATTAGCAAAGTTATTAGTCTGAACTGGACAAACTGCAAGAGCTGGCTTAAAGGACAGTCGACAGCATCTTGTCCTACTGAATAGAGGGAACGATGCTATTTAACTGGGATTAGCTAGCTGATATTTCTGGATATGTAAACACCTGGATTACATCTTCAAAATGGTAAACAACAGGCCTTCTTAAAGAGGAGACCTGTCAACAGGATAGTATCAAGCATAAATACAACAAGCAGACTTCCCAGAACTGACCTAGTTCAGCTCTGTGTTGTTTACCAGGGACTACACCTCATGCATAATCCTACCAAGTGTGCAGGGACATCTAATGACCAAAACAGAGACTGCAACCAAACACATTTAGGCCACCTCAGCACACAAGAAATAAGAGGTGTACACAGGAGAGAGAGGCTGGGATGGGTGCAGGCAATGCAGGTGTTCAGAAAATATCCTAAATTGCCTCAAATGCATGAAAATATCACCTTATAAAATACAAAGAAAATTGTTATCTGAATAGGAATGCTGAATGAGGCTTTAATTGAAATAATCTGGACCAATGCAACATTAAAGCTAATTGAAACAAACTAAAACTGACCAGCTCCCATCCCCTGTAGTTTTGCAACTGAATGGTGTTAAGTTTTAAAGTGACAGGATGTATCTACATGTAAAAAGTCAGAGTACTGCTTATACAAGAAAATCATCTCAGCAATCTACTTAAGGCATAAGGATTTGGGGAAGTGTAATTAGACAAGTATGCTGGGAATTTAGAAAGAGGGATTGAATTCTGTGTTCATCTACAGACAACTGTATGACCTTCAGCAGAGTCCTTGGGTCAGATTGCCAAGGCTGCAGTGAGGGGGAGTTAGAGGCTTAAAAGCCTTTGATGATCTGGAGCTTTGTTGATAAGTCTAGCTCATTTCCATAAAACTTTCCTCTCTCAAGGCAGTACTTGGAGGATGAATTTGTTAAAACTGTGCTTTTATGGTAGTAAGAGAAGGACCACAAACAGTTCAAAACTGAAAGGCTGTTCTTGTGCACTGTTGCTGACCACACCTCTGTCTTCAAAAGGTGCATGCTGGATTGAAACATAATTGTATAGATTTTCTTACTTGCAAGGGAGAAGTACTTTTCTTGTGTTTCATGTTTTGTGTTTTGGTTGTTTTGGTTTTTTTCCCCCTAGGTATCAGACAAGACAGCTTCAAGTCTTGGTTAATGATCTGAATAAAAACACCAGCAAAGGAACTTTAAGCTGGTCTGTTCTGTTTTCATCACGAGATGATTCTACAGCTAATGTGAATTGTTATAAAAAATTTAATGGTACTCTGATGTTATTAAGACTGACTATTATTACCTGCTTAAATATTTTTATAGGATTTATAAAACTCCTACTTTCCACAAAAATAATAATAATTAAAAAAGGAATTCATGACAGATTTTTTCTGTGTTGGAAATGTCGGTGGTGTCTGGGGACATCTCTTATTGTTTAGGCCTCTCTGTTGCTTTTTAGTCATTGTTTCTCCATACAATTTTTTTTTCTTTTAATAAAATCTATTTGAATGTTTCCTGAGGAACAAAAGCGAATTTCTGCCTTTGAACAGTCTCTCTGTATCTTTCTCTTATAAAGTAGATTTTCAGGAATCATTTTTATCATCTTTTCAACAGTTCCTGAAGCATAAGTGATAACTTATTTGTAGAAAAGATGAAGAGTGTTTTAAGTTTGTTTACAAAAGACTCGAATAAGAATCTTACATTTGTATTCAAAGAGATTGTTTTAATTAACCTGCACTGTTCCAATTTGTGCTTTCTAAAAAATCTGTGTTTTTTTTAAAAAAAAAAAAATCATCCCTCTAAAATTATTAGAACCTTGCAAACACAGTTCTGTAGGTATAGGCAGCAGAAATATTATGGAAATGTTTTTATGCCCTGGCTCATAACTATCAGTTTGTCTACATTGTTGATTTTTAAAAGACAAGAAAGAACTAAAAAAAAGGAAAAAGAAATCATTCAAAAACTTAATAACAATTATTTTCTACAATGAAAGGTTGAATTGATGGCAGCAATGATGTGCTCCTTTCTTGATTAAAGTTTTAAAATGTTTAGTTCTGCACAGTGATAAATGTGTTCAGTATTTTTGGCATGAAAGGAGTCATACCATCTTATATTATAATATAATTTGTCCCAAGGTATTTATATAAAAATAAATATTTTATATTATTATTATATTGGCCACTGTAAAGTGTTATTACTCACACCTGATATGTTTGTGTATGATTCTAGAAACAACCTTTAGGGGAACACCTAAAGGAATTAGTGAGATGGTAAACATAATTCATGGCTGATGTATGCAAAATAATTGTATTAGAAAAGATAAGTGGAACTTCTCCTGTCTCTCACTAGGGTCAGAATGCAGAGCCACAAAGAGTCAAAGACCTGCCCATCTCTGTTGGTACCTCAGTGAAAATTAAGACAAGATTAGAGAATACCTTAAATAGAAAACAAATTATCCTGAATTTATGTAAAGTTTTAATGTAACTTAATGGGATACATTCCATTGGAATATTGTGTCTGATTCTATCATCTTTCATATACAACATTTCTTGTATAATTTTAGAAAGAAATTTTCCTGGTTTGGGTCTTTCCCAGCAAAATAATCTAATGTAACGATGATTTTTTGAGGCTTAATTTTTAGATGCCTGTATCTTAACACCGCTAGTTGGAGGCTGATATAATACGTGCAGAGCATTTTTATTACAATGGGCATTTACAATAGATCAGGCAAAATATTTTTCTTGATTTGTATGTGTCTTATTGCTGTAGCCAGTGGCAAATGTTTAGGGGAAAAGTAGAAAAACAGATAAAGTAGCAGTAGCAGTAGTAGTAGCAGTAGTAGTAGCAGTAGTAGTAGTAGTAGTAGTAATTGTCCACAGAACTTTATGAACCCCCTAAATTACATTTATGGACTTTCACTTTTTTTATTTTTTTATTTTGTTAAACAAAACCAAAAAACCCAAAAAACAAAACCAACAAATAACCAAGGCTACTTTCACAGTTAAGCAAAAGATTCAAATTGACAGATGTGACACAGTGCCTCTGCTGGACCTGTGAGGTCCTGAATCACCAGCTGGAGGCCAGACAGATAATTCTGGGTCATTTCAGGCCTGAGACCTCAACCATGGTGTGGCAGAAGCATTCTGGAAAAAGTGTGAAGCTTTGCTGAGGTAAAATACATTCAATAGATTTCATTGATGTCACTGTTGCTACTTCAAAATGATTCTCCTTGAATCTGATTGCCCTGGAGGACTTCAAGGTCTTAGCCAAGGCCTGGCTCGCTGCCTTTCCTTAAGGGAGCACCAGCAGTGCCATCTCCCTTCCACTGGTTATCTTGTAGTTAGTTCCGTGGGCTAATTACCTCTCTTGAAAATATCTGGGAAAGAAATGCCTCAGTTCTGTCTGTTTTACTGGGGATTAGCACTGATTTAATTAAATTTGTTTGCATTTCTAGCATTTCACAGGCCACATTCCACAAGGGGAATCAAGACTTTTCTGCACTCTGGCTTCACTTGAGTTTCTCACTGAGATGTGACACTTTGGAACTGCATTTAATCTGAATCGTGTCTATGCCTATAATAAATTACTGCTTTTACAATCCACTGTAGCAGGGGAGTAGCTCTGGAAGCACCAAAGCTTTGAAGGAGTGCTTAGACACTGGTCCAGCTGGGTTGCTTGGTTCCTGTTAAAGAAGGATTTAGCCTGAACTGTTGGAATGTTTAAGCAATATGACTTGGAAGCAATTTAGCTGAGTTTGTTATGGTAAACCTCTCATTTGTTAGATCTATAAAAAGTCTGCATATTTTTCTTGTAATCAGAGATTTTCAATAACATATACACAGGTTATATAAATACATTGAAGGAAAATTCATTAGACAAATGTTTCTCTTCTAGCATGGATAGACGTGATTTCAATAATTTTTTGAGTTTCAAGCCCTGGAAAAGTTCTTGGCTTCAGGCTGTTTATTTTCTTGCATTATACATTCAAGGTAAGTGAAAACATTTGCACATTCTGGAAAAACTGAGAGTTGGATGAAGTACTTATCCACATTTTGTGGCCTCAGAACTGCATTTTAAAAAATCTTTTTGATCATTTTACAGCAAAGTATATAAGTAAAAAAAATATTTTTATGAGTAAAATTTCTTTATGCATTTGAATATGGAAAGTGTAGTTTTTGTTAATGTAATATCCTTGTTTAAGCAAGAAAGTAAATTCTAACTTACTATGATAAGTAAAAGAAACACAATTGGAATTTCCTTTTAATTTACAAGGTTTATGTTGCAAGTTTCATGTGAGAGCTCTATGGGAAGAAGAAATTTATCAACTCTAGTCATGTTTGTCATATGTCTTTCTTATTTTCTTTCCAGGGCCAGCACTTTAAAATCCTCAGATATGTAAGTGAGCACTGAAATAACACTGTTTAACATTTCTTATGTTTGGGTGTTGTGAAAGACTGAGGTGATGAGGCATTTCTCTGTGTTATAGAAAGGACCACTTCTATGACATTCCAGATCAGTTTAGATGATGATTTGGAAATTATTGTCCTTTTTCTGAACTTAAGTTCATGAAATAAATGGAAGGGACATAGAGACTGTGATGCATAAATGTGATACAATTTTAGCAGTATGCAATTTCCTCAGAGAAAGAAATCATTTAACCTGATGCCTACTTATTTTGTGCCACATTTGAAGTTGATTGCAGGTTTGCAGTTTTGGATGGCATACAAATTATCTTTAACCAAAGAGAGCTTAGCACTTAATACATAAACTGGGAAAATGAATGATAGGCTGTAGAACTAAAATCTACTGTCCAATGTTTTTTCAGACATATGAGGTGTGTTTCTGAATGCTGACTCACACCTCTTAAAATTTACTTTAAATGACTAGCTTTTGTAGGCTTGTCAGCTGGCATTTTAAAGTGATGTCATTCATAGTGCAAAGTCAATTAAACTTTTTCTTATGAAATAAGAAAAATTTAGATATTTTATAAAAAGATTCCTTTGACTGATATGGGAAAGACTTTATATTGCTGGTCATATATAGGACCAGCATTGAAAAACCTCTTCTGTGCCTTCTTTTCCTAGGGCTATGCAAGTCCATTTCTCTCAGTCATTTTTTGTTGCCTCTTGTGCTCTGGCCCTTGACCACCGTGATGGCTCTCACTGGACTTGCTCCAGTGTGTTAATGTTTTCCTTGTTCCCTGGGAGCCCATAACAGGACACAGAATGCTGCATGTGGTCACACAAATCCTACACACAAACAGAAATTCTGATGTGTTCAGTGTCAGACGGAGCTCACATTTGCCTGTACAGGGCAGTACATCACCCTAGTGGTGAACAGATCCTGCACATCCCACTTTCCATCCCATGGTGCTGAAATACTCAATCAGCATCAAGCCTAGGCCAGTAACTACATCAATCTCTAGAAGTTTTGGAGGACATTCTTAACACTAATAATTATTTTTTCCCTTTCTCTTTGCTAGCACAAAAAGAAGCCAAGTCACTGTCTAATGAAAGATCTTTTCTAAAGTCAGTATCACAAAGTGATAGTGGCAAAGTGCTTTGCTATGGCCTGGACCTAGCCACTGCCTAAGGAAAATAAACCTGTGAAAGAAATCTGAAATTTTCTAAATTCAGAGTAACTGTCTTGTTTAATAGTGGTGGTTGCAATTTTTATAGAAGGATCAATTTTATGTCTTCGTCTTCATAGAATAAGCCTATGTTTTTATTTTATACTTGCTTGGCCCTATTGGCTTTCATCTTCTAGTTAGGGCTATCCCCCATTTCTCTCAGTAATGTCAAATTTGTTATTTTATGCCTTTTGATTGAGCCTTGCTGTGGACATCTTTTCAAAGCCATCAGAGAAACTGTTTGCTGAGGAATTAGTTCTGGGATGTAGTTATAAAAAGAAATTAGGCTGTGTCTTACAATTTTTTCAGTTCTAGGACAATAACATAGAATTCCTGTTTTTCATTAGGACTCATGTTTTATTATTTGGTAATAAATTAGTCTCTGTTTCATGTGAAGGAGCTATTTTCAAACAATTATTTAGTGACACCACTATAAAATAGATTTGACTTTGCAGCAATCATGGGCTTGTTAGAAGACATTCATATTGACATTCTCTGTGTTAAAATGACAGAAACCACATTTCAGGTATTTGCATAATCATAGAAGGTCATTGAAAAGAGTAATAAATTTATTGGTCACTTAGTAGCAACCTGAGAATTGACAGAACCTCACTGTTATCCTCTCAAGATGGTAAAAGTATAGTTTTATTTCTCTCTAACAGTTATTTTATCCAAAGATATTTAAAAATTCTAAGAGAGGAGGAGGTCCTCAGTGGTTTCTAATGCTGGCATTGTGTCATATTTTTTATTTTCAAGTCCTTACACTCAGAATTACTTACAAATTGTGAGCTTTAGATAATAAGGATCAACCTGGAGGACTTTCTGCCTTTCATGTGTAAACTGCTCTGGGTCAGGGCTTACAGCAGAAGCAGTGATGTTATTATCTGCTAGATAAAAATGCATTCTGAACCTAAATGGACCTGCTTGAAAGTAATAAGGGTTCAGCATGGCATTCAATACAATATTGTTTGAAAGCTTTCTGTTGAATATGTTTAACATTGTCCAGGAGACACAGAGGCACAAACACATCTCATCTCATAAAAAAACAGACATCTTCCATTTCATTTAGATCACTAGCGTGCTTTTGAAGTTTTGTTCAATTTGTTAATCTGAGAAGATATTTATTAGAAGTTAATTTACACATTTGTATTGAAGGTCAAGTGTTAACATGCTATGGAGGATTAACTGTCCCTCTTTCTTTCTTTTGGTGATTTTATACATTAAGGTACTCTCACTTCAAGAAAAAGCTGTCAGAAAAAGAAATTCCCTTTTTCTTGTGTTCCACTTGTGCTTTAGATGAAATGTGTATTTGAATGAGGAATTTTTCCTCCTAGATACAATTTAATGCAACTTGTCCTTTTGCTGTTGTTTGAAAGGCAAAAGAAATTCTTTATAATATTACACTCCTCTACTAGAAAAGAATGTATCTTCTCAAATAACCTTGGATTGGCTAGGGACATTGCAGGATTAGTTAGAAAAAGATGCTGACTGAAAAATAAGGAAACACAGAAGCCTTATTCTGAAATTAATGGTTAAAATAAGAACCTTGAAAATCATAGGTACGTTTCTACAACTTGGCGGCAGAGAGAGAAGTAAATTTCAATGTCTATTATTTCATTATGAAGCTATTTCTGTGGCTTAAAATATGTTATTTACGCACTTTATATGTGAATTTTTTACTTAAGACCAGTTGTGGTGAGGGCTAGAATTAGGAAAATTGTTGCTTAGAAGAAAGGATGAAACATCAATTTTACCGTTTTGGGTTTGTTGTAACAGGGTGTACTCCATCTGCAGGGGCTGAGTGAAGCTCTGCTCACCCCAGACGTAAAAGAAAAGGAACAAGAGGGATAAAGAAATAGTCAGAGGTACAGGATTGTTGCTATGAGAAAACACTAAACATGGTGATTTCACAGCCTGTAAAAATAATGCCTTTCATGCAAGTGGGAAGAGATATCCAGTGAAACCATCAGACACCATGCTCAAAACAAACAGAAAGAAGAGCTGCTGTTCAAACAGAATTAATCTTTGGTATCTACTGCATTGGGATGCTGTGCAGACCAAAATACTACACAGGTTTTAATAAGAGATGAATTTATGGAGTCACAGATCTATCCACATATTTCTCCATGCAGCTGCTTCTTTCAAAGACTTACTGCAATAAACACAAAGCTGAGCTTAAATATTGTTAGAAAGACATAAGATCTAGAAATCATTATAGTGTAAAATATTAGCATTGTTTTTTTATTCTCTGCAGAAGTGTTTTTACAATTGCATTTAGCTGAGAAATTTTGTATAGAAGGAGGAACTGCAGAATATTTTAAAGATACTCTTGCTATTTTAAAGATATTTTTGGTTTCTTCTTCTTTTCCTCATCTGTCCACCAACAATAGTTCAGTACTGTCCTTTAATTAGAATTTAATCTAGTTTTCCTTTGCCTTAGAGGAGATGCTGAACACCTGCAATAGCAAAGACAAAAAAAAAGCTGGAAGAAATTTTAAAACTGGGTGGATATAAAAAAGGGGTCAGTGAAAAAACATTACAGTTTGGAGGTTTTTCCTACAGAGAGAAATACAGAAACAGCTAATTGTACAGAAAATGCAATTGAAAGAAATTAGTTGCTTAGCTTCCCATCTTGTTTTACCCAGGAATAGACAGATATATAGGGAGTCTTCTTTTCTGTAATGCATTCGGGTGACATGTCTGACTGTGTGACTTTTCCTTCTTAGGTCCCATTCTCCTGTTCTGGTTAGGAGGCAAGAAGCCATGTCAAAAGGTAGTAGTTTAAGTGTATTATTTGCATTTACATAATAATACCTGTACATCATACACCTGTATGTCTATTATTTATGTTTCTCTGTCCTTTCTTAAGCCTTTGCTGTCTACTAAAAAATCTTGGTAAAGCAACTGAAAACTTCTTGATTGAAGTAATGCTCTTTCCTGTAACATACCATGATAAACTATTCATCAGGCATCTGGTATTAGGCTGCAAAAAATAATTCAGTGGCAATTATAAAAAAAAATTACCTGTGTTTCCCCAGGCTTCTCACATAGATGTTAAGGACATTAAATACTTTCTTTTAATAAGATGGAAACTAAGGCTGGAGAAAAATCTACCTGCTTTATAATGACATAATAAGAGATGCTGTATTGAGGGGAAAAACTGCTTTTTTTAAAAATGTCAACATCTCTCTTGACAGAAATGTCATCAGGAAAGGTATCATTATGGATATTTGCAGAGACCTGGATACTTTCATAAAATCTCATTTGAACAATGCAGAAATATAAAAGTGAAGATGAAGCTGGGTGAACTAAAGATGTGTATGCCTGTAGCCTTCATTAAAAAGGTACATATTTATTTAAAGTGTTTTTTTGGCCTCATTTCCCTAGTATCTGATTGTTTCTTAGCTAGTGATCACCTCTGGAATTAATACAATTTTTTTGTTTATAACATACCTAGGAAAAAAAGAACTATGCCTAAAGTTTGTTCTGCCTGCTGAATAACCTCCTAAATATTGCAATGCCTAAGAGCTAAGTTTGGAGCCCAGCAGCATCAACAGGTGGCTAGGTTCCCTACTTGAGCAATTAGGAAATTGTAGTTATTTTAGGTCAGTCTCAAAAAGCCACAAACTGAGCTAGATGAATGCAAACACTGCATATAAAACATATAAAAATTGTGTATAAAAATACTGGGTTTGAGTTCTTTGTCTCTGAAACTTATATCTTATCTTCTTTAAAAGCTTAGAAGTGAGTAGGAATCCTGGCTGAATATGTTAACCATACTCTATGTCAATGCTCTCTAACAGCAATGATGTGGTACCTATCCTGTTATAGACCTGCCTAATGGCTGGACTTCTCCAGACAACTCGAAATGAGACTCTCTGCTCCCTTTTCTTGAGGAAGGCCTAGCATTTGTATGGGGATCCATATCTGAAGCATGGATCCAATATGCAGGATTATGGCCAGTCCATTTTCAGCAGTGTTCACATTTGTATTGATTTTTTTATTATTATTTATTACATGATTTGGGTTGTGCTGAGTGATCTCAGTATTTTCTGTTTGTGTTATGAATGACCATACATGCCCAATATATTAGACAACTGTAGTGATTAGTTGCTTTATCTCCATAATTTGTGATTTGTGTCCCAGGCACTCTAGAAGTGGTCATGAGGGCTGTGTCTGGTCTGTACAGATTATCTAGCTCTTGACCACATTTGAGGATATCATGAGGTATCCTGCTTGTAACTTTAAAGTAAGACAGAAAAAATAAAACTGCCACCAATTTTTAAAACTTTATTTTCCCCCCAATTTTCCAAGTTCCCTTTAAGCATTAACCTTATTTAAACTGTATTCTGTGGCTGAGGCCATACAGGGAACTATTTTTATTACTGTGGAGAATGAATGAGGATGATTTGGGATAAATGTTTGAAATTTTCCCCCAAAATTTTACATTATATGTGTATAAAAAAGTCATATTTTTGCATGAAGTATCATTTTCTTTCTTTTTCTGGGAATCATTTCCTTTTTCTGCCAATGTCTGATTAAGCAGAGGGATATAATATCCAGTGAAAAAATAAATGATATTTTTTAATATAGCAGCGTTTGAGGTTAAAATATACTCTAGCTGTTTGTCTAGGTATTTTTTTTCATGCCACCCTTGGAGAATTTTAGCAACTGTGACATGTATGGCTAAGGAGAAACACCAAGGAATGAAGAAGTAAAATACAAAGATTGAAGGATCAGAGGTTAGATAGTGGGAGCTATTGTTTATCAGATTTACTTCTGGAATATTTTGAGATGGAAAGGAACAAGTAGCCAGCAGTTTTCATTATCTAGTAATCTCATTTTTCAGATAGAACATCTCTCAGGAACAAAAATTTCAACAGTGCTTCCACCCACTTTTTATATAATACATTAATCACTTCTCAATCAGAAAGGGTAATCTCCTGCCCCTGGCCCTGGTACACTAAATCTCCTCTTTCAGCAAGTTCCTAATAAGAAAATATGTCTTTAGTGAGTCCCCTAGATTAAGATTTTCCTCCTCCTTTACTAGATAACTTCTTAAAACAAGAGGGAAGAGATGCTTGTTTTAAGTCATGTTATTATTGCATGTGTACAATTTCTTTGCCCATGGTGTCTCTGACAGTACTCAGGGCTTATTCTTTAAAGTCCATTCTCTGCTTACACATCCTACAGAGAATTACTGACTTGTAGCTAAACATAGTCACTGTAACTCCAGAAAAAATTCTTGTGTTATTTTTTTCTACAGATGGTGTATAAAATCATGCACTTTTGATTTAGAGATAAGCAGTCAGCTTGGATCTGATACAATATTATTTGCTGAATGATGCCATTGTGCTTAGTAAAATGTTAGCTCACCAGGTTCATCAATGTTGGCCAGAGAATTTAAATTGGTCTGGTTCCATTAATATTCAGCACTGCAGAGTCAGGACAGATTCCATCCTTAGATCTAAATAAGACAATTCATCTGGTTTCGGAGAAAAAACCAGCATATTATTTCCTGTCTCTCTGACTCAGTCTTGCAGTGTAATAATGCAAAATTAGTGTGTCTTTTGGTCTGCAAACGGGTTGGGAAGTCACTAGGCATGTTGCACAGAAGTAAAGTGAAAATAAGTATGGGTGCCTTTGATCCCAGCAAAGAAGTGGTATCAAACTGTGCTGTGTAGCCCAGTAAAAAGAGCAGAGATATAAAAATTTCTTGCACTGTTTTGTCATCAGTGCCCACTGCAGCTTTTCTGGCTGAAGTCTGGTAATAAAATTTTTGATATTCACATTGTTCATGCCTGGGTTTATACATCTTTCATTCCATTTCTCTCTGGATATGTAGAGGGTAATTGCCATAGGTTAGGTAGAATGGAACCTGGCAATCTAAGCAGGAATTAAATGGCTTTGTTAGCTATTCACTGCAAAATTATAGCACCTGCCTTCTCTGGAAGCGGAAAAGAATTCCAAGGATTAGTTACAAAATATGACTGTGATTTAAAATGTATCTCTCAGAAATGTATCAGTTTGTGTCAGTTCATCTGTTCTGACTGAGTTCACTAACAGCCATACACAGGGCTGTAACTGGAGTATTAAATGCACTTCATTCCTGTGTACCTTCAACACTGAAGTTTTCTTCATGTAAGGTGTCTATCCAGTACCATTTGGTATAACTGAAATAAAGTGCTTGCATAGAAACTGAAAAATACTACAGAAAATGTGATAAAATCCTGCCTTCCTTCTCTTAGGGATCTTTATCCATGCATCTTTTTTTCTTTCAGACTTTTTGCAGTGGACACCCTGGGATGCTGCCTAGAGCACCATTGTCAGCTCCATGGTCACTTGACTCCCTTTCTTACCGTGCAAAGATCTTTCATTGTCTTTTCTTCACCCGAGGTTTTTCTGTCTTTTTTGTTTGCTCTTTGCTCTGTTGTTTCGTTGATCCATGCTCTAGCAGGTTCCCACACAGAGAATTCCCACCATTCCCACCACCACCTATCATCCCCATTCCATAAAAAGCATCCAAGTGATAATATGGTCGTTTCCCCTGTAATTGATACCACTTTATTGTGCTTTCCTTAAGTATGAACTGCTTAAGACCTGTTTATTCTGTCTTGAGAAATGGCCTGCAGAATAGGATCCCATATATATATGAATTTTAAAAAGGACCAAAATATCATGTTACACTCATGAGATACTTGTTAAGGCTAATTCTTAGCTGCATGATTAATTATGTAAGGTAAATAACTAATTTATAAATTAAACATGCATGCAACTTTTTAATGTACATAAGTAATTATTTAATTTGTTCATGTATTCTTTTAGAATTTCCAGTTAAACTATTATAATTAATGCTATTTTAAGAGCAAATGAGTGTAAAATTGCAGATGTCTTTGAGGGAACAGACTTCACTTAGGCAGGAGGTGGTAATTGAAATAATTGAACTTCACATTGTAGTTAAATTTGCCTCCTGCTTCTTTCTTTAAACAGTCACAAAAGAATATGGAATTAAGCCCTTTAAACTCTCAGATGAGATTAATTTCATGTCAGTGTACTTGAGACAAAGATAAAAGAAGAGTGCTTCAAATGGGGCTTCCATGTTCTTCCTCACAAAACAACTCCTGCTATAACAAATCTTTCTGACAGGACTTTCTCTCTGGATATATAAAAAGGCAAGGCTGTGTACTGTCAGAAACTGGCAGGCCTCAGGACTGGTTTTTCCATACATTTCAAAATGCTGATGTGTCTGTGAGGCCTTTTCCTTGGAACAGGAGGCACACAGTCCTGGGAGCCAGACACCCTTCCTGTGAATGCCCCTCACAAGCTGAGGGGGCAGCCCTGGGTGCAGGGAGGCTCTGGCTATAGCAGTCTCCAGCCACTACCCCATCCCTGATGTGCCTGCTCCACTCTACAGAGCAACACCCAGGCAAGCTAGATGGGTATTCCCATCTGTCTCTGGCAGCAAAAACAGCTGAGGGGGCTTTGTTCTTGCCTTTTGCCGTGCTTCAATCACATTCCTATGCCTTAACTCAGTCCCCATTGCTTTGCCAGCTGTGCTGAAGTGATCTGGTCTGAAGAAGTCTTTTAAAAGGGAGGGTTTTTTTTCTCCTTCAAACCATTTCCCCTTGCTGACACATCTTGAAGCACTCCAGCAGCACTCTCTGCCTACTGGAAATAGTGGATTCAGTGGTTCAGGGTCCTGCTGAGGGCTTGCAGCATGTGGCTGACCTCTCCTGCAAATGAAGGAGTCACAAGCAATTGTGCAATCATCATATCTGAGGGCATGTGGCTGAGCCTAAACACATAGAGGGAGGGGAGAGGGAGCAAAGGTTTGCTGTGGCTGAGCCAACAGCTTTAGAAGGAGATAGGTTTTGGAATGAAGTGGGGAATATAGAGGTTGCAATGAAAAGGAAATGAAAAATGGAGCCATGGGATCCACCATGGGGTAGGAACGAGATCCAGCAGACTAAACAGGCATTAAGCACTATTGTGCTTATTGAATAAGTTCCCATTTGAGTAAGTCTCCATTTGGACAACACTGTTACCCATTTATCTTCTCTTTCCTATACTGGATGAGGTGTTCTTCACTTTCTGACTATCTTGAGATTAATTAAACCACGTTCTTGTAATACAAGTTTATACTGTGACATGTTGTGTAACACTTTGCTTCTTTAGTTCATACACCACTCAGTTCTTGCCATATAAATAAGACCCTGACAAGTTCCCCTCCCCTGGAAAGGATGACTTCTCCAAAGTTATTGAGGTTTAAGTGTGAAACAAGAAATGGTACCTTACAAAGAAAATAATCCCATTATTTTCCGTTGCTTTTTGACTGGAAGGTTGTTCCAAAGACAAAAGAAAATAATTTTTACTAAAATGAGACAAGAATAGTTATGGTAACTATGATGACAAACTTAAGTAAACTCCAGCCTGTGTTTACAAACAATAGTGTGCCTTATGACTGGTTTCACAAGGGATAACCAGCCACAACCCATTGGGAATGTACATGGAAGGTATTTGTAACTGTCCCCAATATTAAATATCTCCTTTTGCTCACAGGATCCTTCAGATTAGAGTCATGCTGACCTAGAACCATACCAAGTGCATCTGAGACCGCTTTGTCAGAGAGCTTTTAAACAGTACAGTTTGTACCATTCTGTTTCACTCTGGCTGACTTTCATGAACACATTCTCCTTAGTGGCAACATATTTTCTTTTCTAGTTTGACAACTTAGATGATAAGCCATAACAACATTTTGCCTGTTTCCTACATGCAGTCAACAGTTTGCTTACATTTCTGAAACCTTTAATTTAAACTTCTGGTAAAAAGTGTCACTTTGGAGCTCACACATAAAAATGGTTTGAAAAGCTGGGCAGTGTTCAGTAGAGAAACAGATTTGTTGTCTGGGGGCCCCACAGCTGGTGCAGGACTCCAGGTGGGGGTCTCATGAGAGTAAAGTAACAGGATCACTTCTCTCAACCTGCTGGTTATGCTTCTTGTGAAGCAGCCCAGGGAATGGTTGGCTTTTGGGCTGCAAATGCTCGTTGCCAGGTCATGTTGAGTTTCTCATTCATCAACAGCCCCAAGTCCTTCTTCTCAGGGCTGCTCTCAATCCCCTCTTCATCCAACCTGTACTTCAGTTTGAGATGGCTTGGACCCAGGTGCAGGACCTTGCACTTGGCCTTGCTTATCTTCATGAGGTTCGCATGGGCCCACCTTCTAAATCTTTCAAACCTTTGTGGCAAAGACAGAATTGCACCAAAGATATAAGATTGCATCTGAGATCTGGATGAATAATCAATTTCTTTTTGCTAGACTGACTTTAGCTCACTGAATCTGAAAGACAGAAAACCCAGTCATGGAGAAAGAATCTGAATCTTCTCCATGGTTTTTTTTTTCCCTATTTTCTGAATACTGTTTTATAAAATTGCAGGTCTTGATATGGGATTTTAATTATTTTATTTCATTCTATGGAAAAGCAGAAAGAAGAACTCTCTGAAACCATGTAGTGTGCTTTTCTTTGTTAAGGTCAGTAAGGGTATACTTCAATGAGGTTCTGCATAGAAATAACGATCTGCTTGAAGTTTAATGTATGCTAGAAAATTCAATACAGAAATTATACTTATTAAATCAAACAAACAACTCCCCAAACCATTTCATGCCCACACAGGTCCCTTTACCCACACCAGATAAATAAGCAAAGAATCTCCCTTGCTCATCAGAAGAATTAATTTATATGCCTCATTTGGATAAGGGTTACTTGGCCTGAAGGCATTATAACAACAACAATACATGTGTTTACATCACAGTTCCCCCTTAGATTTTTAGAATTCAGCAATAAAAGAGACTTCTGGGAATATAGAAATTGGTAACTTCTGCCTACTCTGTAAGAGTCTGCAAATGCCTCATGTCACACAATCCACAAAGATTCTCTGTATCTAGCCCTGCATGATCCCAACAAAATGTAAAGCAAGTTTTCTCTTCCTGTAGTCTTATCTGTTCAGCTAAGATAGTAATGAATTTACAGGCTTATCCAGCTAATGTACCAGTTCCTGGCAATTCTTTAAATTGTTGATGAGTGTCATCTCTAATTCACCTGCTGAGACCTCATGCTGTCTGCTTGCCCTTGTAGGCAAATACAAACCTTTGTGCAAGCCTTTGTAATTCAGCTTTAAAGCTCAGTAATATTGTTCCAGGATCCTGATTTGGATCTTGCTGACTTCCCTTTGCAACACTAATTTCAAAAGGGTCAGTCTTGGTCTGTGCTATAGCTTCATAAACCTCATTGACAAGATGTGCCTACATTAGGGTCCTGGTTTGGGGCAAGAGTGCCTTTTTGAAGTGAATGTCTCAGTTAGAGAGACCAGAGATGAATTAAATTCCTTCTAATAAAATCAAGGAAGAAGGTGCTGGCTCCAAGAACTCACCTGCTCTAGTCCAGCAGTTTGCAGGCTGTCTATGGGACCAGAGTAGGGCTAGTCTATAGTAAAACACCCAAAATATGTATATTTGTGTATTGGTATTGCTACCAGGAGTAGGTTGTCAGAACTAATTGTTTTACCTATAAAACTGCTTCTATTGGCACCTCTACCTCTTGCTAATGGCAATGTAGCCTCAACAGCCCTCAGATGTTTTAATTTTTGTGCTATCTTTGTGTGACTTGTAACTAAAATGGCTAGAGGCAAAATACTCAGTTTGATAAATTTAGCTGCAGTTAACATAAGGAGTTACTGCTTCTCTTTATATATTGCTGATGTAAAAGGGTTTTTTAGGCTACTGATGATGTGAATGCCCATAATTGTAGTTCTCAGAGTGTGTAGGTGTAGGACTTGTAAAAAAGATGATGTTAATCTGAGAAAATAGGTTTAAAAGAAAAGTTAGGAAAGCGTAAACACATCCTCCCATCCCAAATCAAGACTGACTGCATGCAAACATTCCTGGTCAGTATATGTGGAACTTAGAAAGACCTAGACTTTCTTATTCTATGATCTAAATTGTAAACACAACATGCAAAATGTTACCATTTTTTCCTAATAAATTTAATTTCCATGGAAGCACAGGAGTTAGAAGATAGAGAGTTATATAAATGCTTTTTCAGCTTCCTTATAAGAAGTGGCAATTGGAATTTTTTCTGAATAGGAATCCTTAATATGTATGCAGCTTTTAAAATTTTTATTTTACATGTTTGGAATTTCTTTTGGAAAATTTCAGCCAAAGTGATCCAGTAATTTTTTCTACAATTTCCTTTCATCATTCTCTCTCCTTTGCTCCTCACAAACAGTAGTACCATCAGGGGAAAGATATTTTGTTCTGCCCTTGCTATAATGTTCTGAAATTATATCTCTAAAATTCCCTGGTCTTCAAAGATGTCTGAAAATTTGTGGGTTTTTTTATTTGTTTGCTTGGATTTTTTTTTTTTTTTTTCATGGGCAACCTCTTTCAGCCTCTGTGAAAACTGAAATTGGTGAGTACTTGGTAGAGAATTTTTTAATTTCCATAATTAAAATGGCCAAAGGAATTCAAATGCCATTTTTTTTCAAACAGGCTTTCCTCAGACAGATCCCCAAATGATGCTCAAGCTATATCTGTACCATCCCTACAGAAAAATGTGATGTGGTTCTCGTAGCACAGAAATAACCATGCTGAATAACTGTTGCTGCTGCAAATTACATGAGTATGCTTGAGGTCAGGGCTACAGAAG